TGATTAATTCGCGTGCGGAAAGGCGAATTTATCCGTTTCAGCTGGTGTGCTGAACGACAGCTCGGGGAGTTAAATATTCTGAAAATGTTTTATAATTACGTCAACGTTACGCGGCCGCACGTAAGGCGCGGCGAATGCGGCTAAAAACAAATCGCGTCACGACAGAGTGATCTTACGAATTTCCATCCGTAGCTCGAACAACTCTCGCGATGGGTGCGCACGAGTTTGCTTATGAGGCCGCGCCATTAAGTCCACGTCGGCCACTTCCGGTGCACGCGCCGCGTATCCACGTGTGGGGTGTTCACGCACCTTGCTTCCGCGAAGTTCCACTTTCCACGTCCGCGTCCGTGAGATACGATCCCCCTTCGCGAGGCGGACTCGCGCGGAAAATCGGTGGGATCTCGTTCCGCTGATATGCGCGCGCGTCCGCAATTGTTATCAAGGACCGAAGATTTTATAAAAATTGGAACGCAAAACGCCTTTCAATCGAGACGTGCGCGATCATCGATCCCGGGCAAAAAGCGGTCGGAGGAGAATCCGATCGAAGGAAAGCGATGCTTCATTGTGTCAACGATGTCGACTTCCGCTCTCGAATCCGCTCGCTTCCGCTCACGACGTGTCCGCGGCCGGATGTTGCGGGCGATACCCTGTCGAAATTATCTTTCTGGAGAATGTTACGTATCAGTCAGCGTGAACGAAAGTATAGTTACAAAGACCGGAACGTCACTGAAGGGCTTCTTCGATGAAAACCGAAACGATGATTTCTATTTTATTTAAATATCAAAAATGGACGAGTAAAATTCGACGAGAATTTTGCCTGACCTGCGGTATTTAAAAAAATAATTCTATTTTCAATTGACTTAGGCTTGAATTCGTTTTGTGATTTATTTACATACATATTAGTATACGCGGATATCCTATTGAGATAAAAATGTGATAAGTATGCGATAGTCATGATCAACACGTTTATCATACGCATGCCGACACCTTATCGCCAATTCCAGACATCGTTCAGGAAATAAGGATAAATAGACGTTTCTCGGGAAGAATTGACTCCCGAGGACACGGCCGCCAAACCCTTAGAATAGGCGGAGAATCTTCGATTAAACGGTCCGGCCAGCTGACAGGAATACTACGGCACCGTGAACTGCAAACCGGTTCGCAAAATGCTTGTGGGAACAAAGACGGGTTTCGTCCGCTGCTCGCTCTCTGACGTCACACGGCGAAGCGGAAAGTGGGTGGGTGGGTGTGTGAGGTTGCCGAGTCAGTGAGGACGGTCAGTGATCGCCCCTTGGTAGGTTGAATCTTCTTCTAGAGAGAGAGACAACTCGAACGACTCGCCTGTACCGGAAGAAGAAGAAGAAGAACTCGGAAGATACGTGAAAACCGTAAGAAATTTCATCTCCAAGTAATTAAGGAGATACCACACACAGCAAGAACATCCGTGATCAGGCGATAATTGCTTTAAGACAGAATTATATATGCGTATGCGTGTTCATAAGTGTTCGATGAATTATTTATATGTCAAATTACGTTAACTGTACATAAGTTAAGTTTAAAAAAACTTAGTTATATAAAACTCTAAATTTATAGAAGATGTCTTCAAAGGCGTAAATTTTTGACTCTCGTTGAATGATAAATAAGTCATTGAATCCAACTTACATGTTATTTGTTGTAGATTTAAAAGTATGTTAATAGCTGAAGATCTCGTTGGATATGACAAAGTGAAACCTATGGGAAATTCTGAATCCTTGAATCATATCCGATGCAGGTGGTACATTGTTTATATGCACGCGCGAGCGCAACGTTATGCAATTTGCATTGCATTAACGTTTCGTCATGGCCAGCAACTTAATGCGTCATCAATCGTTTTCAATGACTCAGATCGATTGTCGGAGGAGTAAAAGGACTCTTTCCTCAAACGAGTAAATCTTTGAATTCGCCTCTTCGCACGAAATTTGTTCGAACAAAATATCCTCTGAGAAGAAATATTCTTTTAAGAATCTTTTTTTTCCTGATCTTGTCAACGATCGAACAACATGACATATCCTGATTAATTATGAATAAGGAAAGAATATAATATAGAATAATAAAACAAAATGGTTGGAACAAAAAAAAGACGCGAGAGAGAAAGAGAGATCTGCCAGCGGCGACTTTTACGAGACAAAGAGAGAGAAAAAAAAGTTGCGATGAGGATGAGAAAGTAAAGAGACTGAGAATCTCTGCAACGAGTGATTCACCGAGCCGCAAAAAGACGGAAAAAAGGAGAGGCGAAAAAGGAAGAGCAAAGAGTAGTATCCCAGAAGCAACACGATGACTTACTTTCTTCGCTTCGCTCATTCCGCGGTAATAATCGCGACAAAACCGAGGTGTTTCATTCCGCTGGGAATGTTCCCTCTTCTTCTCCGTTTCCTTTTATTTCTTTCCTCCTTTTCTCTCTCTTTTAAATAAAAATCTTATTATTGTGATAAGATATATATATAACGAATAAAATATTGGATTTAATTATGATTATTATTGAATCAAGTTTTTCAACTAAGCGATTAAAAGATAACTCGAAAATTTCACGATAACTGCATTAGCTGTTTGCTCCAGCTTACTTTCATTAAAAGAAAAGATATAAAAGAATTTCTTGCATTGATTGAAAGAAGAGAAAAGAAGTAAAGATTTCTCTTATGCATGAGAAATATAGAAGAAATTGATTAAATGATTACTTCAAAAAAAAAAATACTTTAAAAAAAATTATTAAAAAATGTTTACGATTAGGAAAATGATAATTGCAAAAGATAATTGCCTAGATAATTGCAAAATATTGCAACATGTTATATATTACTGTTCTTGTTTATTTTATTAATATTATTGTATTTAGCACCATAGTAATTAAAGTACTTAAGATATGTTTAATATTTGTCAATTAAATTTCAAAAATTATAAACGTTCAAAAATTAAAATACAGCTTCATAGCTATATACACACATTGTGCTATTTATTAATGAATATATTATAATAAACAAAAATTTAATTAATTCTAGTTATTTCAGAAATAATTAAAAACAATTCTCCTCTGACACAAAGTATCCCCGGTGCGTACGTATTCGTCCCTTTCACAAATCTTTAACGGTTCGAAGCTCTCCCACAAAGGGCTCGCATTGCGTTGGTCCCTTGAAACCTCCTGGTAGAGAAAAGTTGTTGACACGTAAACTTTATCACGTAAGGAAAATCACTCGTTTTCCTTACTCCACTCCATTCCACTCGTAAACTCCAGTAGTAACCTCTAACCTCGATTTCAATCGACAACAACCGATGCTTTGTCTCATAGTAAAGAATTATATATCACAAATCTCGTTAAGAAATAGCTTTTAAAGATTTCGGCCATCAGATTACCACGGAATGTACAGATCAACGAGAAGAGCGATAAAAATCTTTTTTCTAGAATTATGCTACGTATAAAAAGTATCATATAAACTTGGGAGTTATGGTACATATAAACGTTTAATTAGACATATAACTTTGGATAACTTTTTAGATAATTTTAAACTTAAATTTTACAAGCATATTTATTTTAATTATTTATTTTAATTAAAAACATTGATTCGTTTTTATATTATGTAGTGTATTATAACGTATGTAGTTTAGACTATTTATTTAATCTCTAAGCTAAAACCATAGAAGCCAAAATAGGAAACGACATTGCTTTTGTTTCGGCCATTATCATACTTGAAATTGCTGCGACAAGACGATGAACATATAGAGATAAAGAAGAAACGGTGAGCGCGGTGGGTACCGAGATAAAAATCGCACGAGCAAAGGGTTGAGGGGGAGTTTCCAGTTACTTTGCGGGAACTCGTCGACAATGCCATATTCGCGAAAGACAACTGGATCGCAAAAAAAAGGATATCTGATGAGAAACACAGATGGAAGCGAGGTAGACGAGTAAGCCAATGAGACGTGATATGCCTCTTCGTGCCGCTGCTTCATCACGGAATCCAGCGGATCGTCCATTGAAGGAAAAGTCGGTCAATAGAACATAAAGACTATAAGCTCGCCGCGAAATGAGCTTTTACTGATCGCACGAAACAAGCACGCTAAGACATTCTGAAATTGAAATAGTTGCAAAAAAAGTGACGCTTTTCTGCGGCCAATGTTCTCCGATCTACAGTATCGCACACTTAGTCTGAAATCATGAATTGTAGAGTTCTTGCTCTTTGAAACCAGCGTGTATGAAAATAATGGAAAATTTTAGGAATGTGTTTTTTCCTTAAAACTATCTTATTCTATCAACAAGTTAAATATTTGCTTAACAATACAAACCGTGTATTATTGGAATTTAGATAGCAACGGTATTGATCTAATCTAAATATCGGAGAAAGTGATGAAAAATTCCGTCCAGAACCACCCACCCTACCAAGTATCTTCCTAAATTTGATAATTGATCTCTCAAAATACAACGAAAAGTTAGGGATAACGGATACGTCGTCAACAATTATTAGACTTGCGGTGCGATAACCGCCGACGGACCACAGGAAATAAAAGCCCAAAATTGTTTCCCCGCTCGTTCTACTGTCGGTTTTAGAATTCAGAGATTCGTTCCTGGATGACGAGAGTTCGCCGCTCGACTTCATCAACAATATTCACATCGGGGCGCTCGATGAATTCAATTCTACGACAATTTAAATGCAGATCGTTTTGGCAAGAGTTTGGGTAATGGAATATGATTCACGGCATGCTAGTTATTAATATTCTACGAATAGAATGCGAAGTCAATATTTTTTACACTTAAATTCTCAATATTAAGATCTGTAAATGAGCAGATATGTGAAATCAGAAACCTGGTGAATACTTCGCTCTGGCGAGCCTCCTTCGACGAGAGAAGTCTTCTCGAATGTCAACAAAATCAAACAAACCTCGTGGAACAACATTCGATCATTAAGCGCATGATTGGTCGAGCAGTGACCGGAAAGCGTCAGAGACAATGAGGAAGTGACGGAGGTGTGGCTCACCTAAACCCATCTTGCGCTTGAGCTTTTTGAGCACTTTCATCTTGCTGCGCAACGGTGCCAGGATGTTGTTGTCGCCGCTGTTGTTGTGCTGCGGCAACGCGCTCGGCGGGGCGTGCTTGCCGTGATGGTGATGATGATGATGGTGGTGGTGGTGCTGGTGGTGGTGATGGTGATACGGCTCGTAGGGTTGCTGCTGTTGCTGCGGATGTTGCACGCTCGCGCCGGAACTGCCGACGTGGCCGCAGCAGTGACAGGGGTGGCTGCTTTTGCTGCCCTTGACCGCGCACTCTCCGGACACCCCCATAAATGTGGTCGCTACTCCCGCGCGAGGATCAGGCGCGAAAAACTCGCGACTATATAGGTGTGCAAGCGGAAATAGAATAATAGAAGGACAATCGGTCGCGGAGTCTCGGAGATATGACGGACCTAATACTCCGGATGGATGACTCACTGACGCTCGCACTTTCGGACACTGACCGCGAGATTACTCCGCTTTTCCTTCACACCTTCACTACTCAATCGAGTCAAAATCGAATGAAATTGGTCTAGACAAAGATCTCAGCGCGGTAAATCCGACGATGAAAATGACCGGCAGGCTGGTGAAGCCGGGAGTTAAACGTGACTCCGTAATCCTTTCCTGTCCTAATGCGACCGTCGTTCTCATTCGGTGACGTGTCTAATGGGCGAACGACGCGATCACTGCGATATAAACCCCCATAAGCTGAGAGACAGAGGAAGAGAGGGGAAAGGGAACTGCCGTCAAGACCGCGTGTCACAGCGACGAATGGGGCGATCTAGCACGTAGATCGCGGATCGCCTGCGAGCCCCGTCGAGCGCCCTGGGACGACTGACTGTTTTCTGTCGTCGAGCGCGAGAGTATTGCCGCAACGCGCGCGAGCCGGCATCCAATGAGATCGGGCGGCTCCCCACCGGAAGGTGAAGGCGTATGGAGGGGTGAACTGGCACCTGGTGGACAGCTGCCCCTTACCTGGCTGCGATGCACCCGGCCACCCCAACGCGCAAGACCGGGAATTCGCTTCTCCTGGGGTTGGAGTATACGGAACGATCGCCGACTGGCAGAGGAGGACTGCGACTCTTCTCCGTTAATTTTAACCTTTAGACTGTGATCGACTAACGTCAGTTCACACGATTAATTTTTCTCTTCTTGCGTGAGAGTTTAGCGATACAATGTCAGTTGTATTCACTGGAAAAGTCATTCATGATGAATATAAGATGATTAGCGAGAAAATTCGAATAATTTAATTAAGGAAAGCGTACCTTATCGTTTGCTTTGAAATTTAAAATAAAGTCGCTGTCATGTTTTAACTTTGCGACGAGTTGGTAATTATTATTTTAAGTTAAATAATAATGGAGAGCACAGTAATGATCACGGCTCCGTTTTGATTTCCGAGTTGGAGTCGCGCGCAGCTCGAAGCGTATCGAGAAAAAGATCGTATTTCCATGGGATTCGAGATGCGTCTCTCATCCCATGACGATGCGGATCTTGCCGCGCAAACTATAAATTACATAATGACAAATAAAAAGGAAAGAAAAATGATATTCGTGGCACGGCTGCAAACAAACTATACAGGTACCCATATAGCTTTAACCCGTCACACGTGATGACCACAAAATTCATTTAATCCTTTGCGCTGGACATTTCATATATTATAATTTCCATGCGGGCACTTTCAAAAATGATACAGAAATGATCGAAATCATTAATAAACGAGAAATAAAGAAGCTTTTTAATAGAGACCGAGTTAACGACGATCATGCTGTAAGAGAAAATATACTGAAGAAAAAGAGTGCGATCCTCAGGGAGAAATGGACTATCTTCACTCTGCAAGGGTGAAATTCAATTTGTGCGAAGGAGACACCGAATCAACTTACGCGCAAAAAGAAACGTCGTTATGGCCTTGGAAGGGAATTGGATCTGTATCGAGTTGACGAAGTGAAATCAAAGTCTTGCCGCGATCGATACAATAGATACTCGCGAGAATTCAATATTCTTCATTTCCGACTGTTTCGATGCATTTGCTTGCATAAAAAGCTTCAATAACTTAGAATAAATTTGTACAATTATGAGAAAATATATGAAGAGAGGATTAACTACAAAGAAAATACTTATGATGCCGTTAAATACACGTTGGGAAAACAGCAATCTCTTCATATCGATGACCTTGTTCGCACCCTTTCCCTCGCCTTATATGCCGGTTATAGCGCTAAATGACTCGTATTCTCTACAACCCCATCGCCAATAACTCAAATTTCGCCAACAGGTTGCGGTATTCGCGCAAGGTGCACCCTATGTGCAACACATTATGCACCCTCGTGAGGAACGTACACAGTGCCATTACGGCACCCGGAGATAAAAACTGCCGTTATTCCCTCGCCGTTATCCGTCCGATCGATTTTTTTATACTCACAAAAGAATTACGCGACCGCTTTAAAAAGGAGAGAGAAATAAAACTGCTCCGCGAAACAATGATCCTCGACAATAACGTTCGCGATGTCGCGTCATTTTGTCAGTCATTGTTCCAACAGTTAACGGGACGTCGTCAGATGCCACAACGGAACGCGATGTTTTCCGCGGGGCGCGAATACGACGAGAGTAAATAGGCAAACATGCAAAAGTTAAATCAACACGGCTCTCAAGACGAAAAGGGATTTGTCATGCCGCATAATTTTCACGCGCCACTCCTCCCGCTCGCGGGTGTCTAGTTCAAGTTACTTGCCGTATTCGTTATACGACAAAATCATTCATCGTGAAACGTAGACTATCTACATTACGCCATTATTATCTTCGATGAATAATTATGCATTCTATGTAAAAATTATTACGACAAAAGATATCTCCGTAGATGGCGGGCAAACGAGCAAGATCCCCGTCCTCTCTCCTCCTCCTCTCCTCCTCGTCTATTTCTCTATTTATTTAGCTATCTCTTTCGCTCGTAGGAATGGGAAATATGCCCACGGCACCCATGGCCGCGACTTCCTTTCGCACATTCTTTTCGTTCGGTACCAGACGTCTCTCTTGCGTAACGATTACGCGCGGGAGTAGTAACGGGTACCGTGGAGTCCGCCTAGCGTCGCATTCATTCATCAAAATTCAATAACGAACAATAGAATAAATTGAGATGCCAGAGAACCTCTCGAGATTTGGAAAAAGTATTTTCGCATATTCATTTCAGAACATGCGAAAATACTTTTTGTTGTAATAACTTTACGTAAAATACATAAAATACATAATTATATATAAAAGATAATGGCATAATATAGAGCCTACATTTCGCGATGAACGGTTTTGTCGTAACGAATACGGCGAGTAACTCGAACCTTTCATTCCCGCGAGCGACGAACGATTTAACGATTTAATTACGACGCAGCAGTTCCGTAAGAGAAAATAATTACGAGACGCCAGACACGTCCGAAAGTATGCTTCTTACATTCGCCACTTCAATTAATTCCCCGCTCGTCTCTCATTATATCCTCGCTTGTACGCGGGCGTGCACGTGAAAATCGCGCACATTGTTACCCGTGTACGCGCGCACGCACGCACGCACGCGGCCCGTATTCAGCTATTTATATGCACGCGTGGCCACGCGCGCGCGCAGCAAGCACGTTCTTTCTTCGCCGCGTCGCGCTGTACGATGATGATAATGCACCTCGTTGACCGCAAACGCATAGACGCGTGAATTTCAGAACGCGAATGCGAGGAGAAGTTTCTCCTCGAAAGCACAACGCTTTCGGAAGAAGGAAAACATCTCCATCTCTTCTGTAGAAAGAAACGTATCGTGCCGTTTATCGCAAGTAAAATCGATATCTCGCATAAAGCGCGAGTGACTTGTGCGATTAAATAGTGGAATGAAAACATAAGATACACCTCCGAATGTTTATTTATGGAAACGAGATTGTTTCGTTACAAGTGCGGTATTTTATTTTCTCTTTTTTTTTTTAGACATTTTCAACGCCAGTGAATCGACGCTAGCTCACGTGCCCTCTCGAGATCTCGTGGAGGTGAAGCCTCGCGAATCCAATCTCGAGGAAACGGAGACACGCCTCGGTAGCTCACTCGCCGCGCGTTCACCGAACTTAAAATCCGACTGGCGATACGTTTTGGAGAACGCTCAGGGAAATACACAACGTACAATTTACTCGGTGCCTCTCTTTCTCCCTCCCTTCCTCCCACGCTTTGAATCAGCATAAAAATCAGATGTAATATCTAACACGCAAAATGTTTCTCTATTTTAAAAAAGTACCGTTTCACAGTACCGCTCCTTTTCGTCATCATCGTTTTCCAACGATTATTCGATCCCGACTGATTATTCGATCCTTAGACCTTTCATTTTCCAATCGCGCCCGGGTTTCGAGTTTCCGATTACATTTTCAGGAGACATTCGAGTGATAGCACGCTCACGCTGCGAGGGGTACCGCTGTATTGTACTTTTCCTTCATTCCGCAGCGTCAAATAAGGGGTTGCTCGGTCCAGCATCTGTCTGCCACATCGTCTCGACGTCGCGCGGGCGAGCGAACGGCGAGCAAACGGCGGCGGCGGAACCGCTCGGATCGCGCGCAGATGCGTCTCCTTATAGGGATTCCCGGTGGCGAGGATGTCAGCGGCGACCCGTATGCATATAACATAATGTGAAATAGCGGAAGCAAGGCAGGATGGCAGGAAGTCGGAGAGACCGACGCGTGCGCGAACCGCTCGCGCACCCTCGTACCCTCGTGAAAATATAGAAGGCGGAGAGGGGTATTCTAGAAGTGTATTACCGGCTCGGATTACTATACAGAACCCCCCGAAGTAGAGGAAATAGATATACGGATCCTCCAACGGTTGCTAACCTCCTCCCCCCTTCTCTAGATTTTCTTTTCAACGCATCTGATTTCGTATGATTTTCAATTTCTCATGACGTAAGTGTATTTTATAACAGTTAACTTCATGGTAGATTTGTCGCCATTGCGTTGCATCATTGATTTGAAATTTTATTTATTAGGCTTCTGCTAATTCATCATCAGTCGTCTTGAATTATTATATTATATCAGGAGCCAGAAAACATGTGATAAAAATTCTTGTGAAATAAATTGAACAGAGACGTTTTTCAATAAAATAACGTTTTCAGTAAAATATAATAAAAATTCTTTCGCTCCGTTAATCATATATACAACATTGAATTGTGGTTCTCTTGATCAAGCAAAATTTATTTTCTAGATATGTGATTATTTATTGTCAGAGTAAAAAAAATTTTCGGTATATTTTACAAATCTGTTTTGTCGAATGCGTGACATCGAATGTGAAAACGTGATTTTATTGAAAAACATTTTTATTTCTATGTATTTTGCAAGAATTTTCATGTGTTTTCTCGCTTCTGACATCGTAATTCAAGATGGTTGCAGCGAACCGATAGGAGCCTTAATATTATTTCGACTGTGAAAAAATAGCACGCTACGTAAATGATAGTATCGATATTACGGCCGAATTCGACGTAACAAGATTACAGTAGATAGTTGCAGCTTATAACTTTCTTTAGCTGGGCTTGGTAAGAGTGTAGTGTCA